AAATAATTTGATTATATACAATTTCTAACTTAAACTAAAACAGTAAATCTAAAACATTGGCTACCTTAATGATGAATTACCAATTTATTTTATAAAACTATATTGATGATTGTTTGTTTGTCGCTGGCATAATGACCCAATTAAGACATTTCGCTGATCGTTGCTGACCGCGCGGAAGTGTCTGCTCGGGTCGGTGCACTATTGCGACAAACTTGTCGAAATGTTAAATTTTATAAAAAAATGAAAATTGTTCGTTTGAACAATCTTGCAACTTTTAAATATTATAGTTAATTTTAGTTTTTATTGTAATTAAAATAACTAAATTAAAAATACAGGGTGTTTTATAACATACACCCCAGAGAAAAATATCAAGTAAATTAAAATACCAGGAACATAGAAAAATGCTTAAAAAAATTTATCTGTCAGAAAATTTTGACATTTGATCTTTTTTATGTCTATTTGTTGTCACCGATAAGACATTACCAAACGTCCCAACACTCCCTAAATCGATTAAAGTACAACAATTTATTTAAAATCGGCATAAAGGAGGCAAATTACAAAATACGACTCTTATGATGAAAATCTATATATTTCACTTTTTTTTTTCTCGACATAATGAGGGCAAATTACAGAATATGACTTTTATGAAAATCCATTTCACAATTTCTTTACAATTTTTTTTCTTTCAAAATTAAATTTTGGAATATGTAAGGTTTATAACATTTTAGGAATTTAACAAAAGATATGTTTTTATAAAAACTAATTAAATTAATTAAAATAACTGAAATCACGCTTTCATTAGCTTCACATTGTCAAAGCTTAAATTAATCATAATATTAAAATCTGATTACAATTAATTCATAATAAAAGTTAACTCCGAATCCAATTAAGACTTAAACAATTTATTCATCGCTTAATCTAATTAACTTAGTTATAATAGAACCTGAATCACATCATCTAATCTAACGTGAGTTAATTAGTGGGATTAGATTATAAACCAATATTTTCTTTGGGTGTCTCTGCTTTACTTCTACTTAATAAAATTAGAAACTAAATCAACAATTAGTGTTTCAGGACTTGATTGAACTAAGTGTATGTAGAGAGAAAGCATATAAATAACTGTGCCACTTAAAAACTAGGTACTTACTAGGAAAAACTCTTTGCCAAAGACACAAAAACTGACCTTTTTGTTGTGGCAGTTGACTAGACTACGCGTCGGCGTCTCCTGCAAACAAAAAAGCTAGATTAAAATATGCGGTCATGGCGTGTCGAGGTCGGCTTATTTTCTATAAACTCGTAACACTAAGACATTTTTATACAGGAAAATGACAGCGCGAGTTGAGAGCGAGCACGTGCACGTCATGTTTTTTTCCTTTCGTTGAAGAGAAGTTGAGACGCTCGAAGGGACGAAAATTGTTTCCACAAAAATAAATTGGCAGCAGTTTGTCGACGATGAAAGCTATTTAACGGAAACTATTCAATATTTCAGCGGACTTTAATTAACGCTGGAGGCTCTTTTCTGATCTGGGGAATTTCATTTGTAACTGTGATATTTGAGAATGCTATTAAATCGATTGTTTTTATCATGTCGATAAAATTTGGTCTGAAACAAAGGCTTGCAGAAGTTGCAAAATAAAAATGAAATTTTCGATTCTGATACACCTGGAGCGTTCATTTCGCCTTTTGTTTCGTTAGCAACTAATTGCCGCCATAATTCATTGGTCGCAATGCGAGAAAATGCGAACAGTAATCAAAAAGCCCTTTGTTAAGCTCGTCGTGCATGTGAACCATACATTTCTTTGTGGTCGAGGCCGAGAACATAATTTACCTGTCAGAGATAGCATTGTGCTATTGTTTAGTCTCTCGGCGAAATCTTTCGTCGTCTAACAAGTTATTTCTCTGTTGTGTTACAATTACAACGGAGACAAGTCGGATATGCGTTGCGGAAATGTCTGATCGTTTAAAGAAGAGTTTGTTATTTTCGTCGAGAATTTCGTATCCTGTCCATTATCTTCCGCTTGTTTGCTTCGTGAAAGAATCGAAATGAATCGGCACAAGGATCGTGCGTGAGAAATTACGGCCTTCTCTTGCGTGTCGACAACACCGCTCAAACTTTTCCACTTTGGGACTATTAGAAAAATGCAAAATTCCATTTCAACGACGGACTGCATTAAGAGGGCTTCGCGGAGAAAAGCCCAAGAAAACCCACAAGATAAATTCTGCACACTTGGGGATATCGGCCATTTCGAATATTTTTAGAAATAATGACGAAAAAATCTATTCAATGTCTAGCTTTAAACTATTTCTTATTCATTAAATAATAGAAAAAATATTTAGCCGAAAAAAGGTTATTTAATAATTTTATGTTTTTGATATTTTTCGTCGTTTGGTGCAAATTGAATTCGGAAAGTGCGGTTGATCGGATTAAAAACGCAAAACGCCTTTGGGGCGGTTTTCCCTCCGAGTCGCTAATGTCTGATTACAAGCTGGAAACGTCTTAAATTAATATTTGGCAAAGTGTGCCCCTCGGATGAGTTTCTCGCTTTGTTTATCCTTGTTGTAAATCCTTTCGAATTCCGCGACCGCTCCTGCACCAAATTTAATTGTCTTAAAAGTTGAAAGAAGGAGCGCAAGCAAAAATCGAGCGGATGAGAATCAACGCACAAAAGCGAACGCAATTACTCCCTCTTTCGTTCTTTATTCGGGTCTGTATAGGCGGTTATGTAGGCGGAAACCGAACAACAATACCGACAATTTCGCTTATTTATCTTCAGATTTCTTGATTTCAAACCGATCAAGTTTTACTGAAAAACACTCCCACAACGACAAACTTTGCGATATTATCGAACTTGGGGTTGTTGACTTTTCTAATTGCAACGTAAAAATTTACGATACGACTTAACCTGCACCCGATAAGCACTTCCGCCATTTCTCCTTTTTTAATTATGCATTCGACGACAAACTCAAAGAAATTTTAATTAAAAATATCAAATCGTGCGTTCGCTAAACAACAATTTGTTCAAGTTGAGGCAAACTTTTTTTCAACCGCTGCTTTAATATTGCAAAGGGTGCGGTTTGGTTTTTATTACTTTTAATCAAGACTGGCGCTTAAAAAATTCATTTGTTCCTTTAATTAAACCTGAAACTACGTTTTCTATACGTCATAAAACACTTTATCTAATTTTTATCCGCGACGAAAAGTTTCCAAATTTTCCTATAAATTTTCCGAGTGCAGACACCAAACGGATGCAACTATTGCCATTGTTTCGTTGTCTCGCCGTTCATCATGACTTGAGCAAAAATTATTGGTTAAAGTTCGAAATGTCAACGAAAACTCTTCATTTATGAAATTGCAGGAACTGTATTCACTGTAATTTTCAATGCAGATTTTCATTATCGTTGCATTTGACGCCAGATTGCATTAATTATTAATTGAATTCGTCGGCAAACATGCTGGAAACGATACAATACTCCAGTCATTCTCAATACAAACAGTTTGGAAAAAAGAACAAAGATTAAAGAACATTGAATAGAAAAGAAAAACCGGCTTGGGGTAACAATACGAATTTATTTTATATAACTTGGGCGGAAATGAAATTTTACGCGTTCATTTTTGTGTTTCGATTTCGTTGGATTTATCACCTTGGACGCATCCGCATCGGCCCTAAATTACAGCTCACGTGTCACATTCACGTAAAACTCGCATTAAGTCGGCGTTATTTCTTTTATTGACCAGTGGCAACAAATGCATTAAAAAAAGGACGAGGAGTGGCCTCTAATGCATTTTATGCATCTTTTAGTCCGTCCAGACGAAGAATCATTTACGAAATGTTATTACCGACTATAAAAGTCCCGGTCGAGAGCAAAATGGGACGCTTCCAGTCTCATTATTGTTATATTTATGTCGAAACACTGCATCAAAATAAGTAATTGTGAATGCGAGCTTTAATGAAAAAGGCTTTTGTGCGCCGCGATGGGATTTGGTCCCGGTTTGCGTTTCAGAAACTCCACTACATGGCGAATGCGGTTAATTAGCAAGAAAAGAAAAAGAAAAACAAGAAAAAATTCTATATGTGTCTAAAGCTAAATAACGAGGCGGAAACGCTCTTTAAAGAACGGGAAAAACAGGTTCTGAAACCGGTTTTATGCTGTTTACAACGGGCTTTGAATTGATTTTTGATTGGTTGGAAACTGCTTTATTGCATCATCCTTACAGAGAAAACAATTTTTTTTGTTATAATAAAAAGTAACATTTCAAAGTCCTATTTTTGCGTTTAAACCGTCTAGATTAATTTAAAATTTAATCCATTCCTTCCGACGCCCATTGCGGCGTTCCCCACGCACGCAAAAGGTCATCATTCACGTATAAAGAAGAAAAATGTTCATCGCGACGTCATTTCTGTATTTAATTAAGATTTAAAATTGAAATTTTTGATATTTCTCACTGTAACACTTAACACATGGCGTGTCCGATTTTATCCAAGGAAGAATAAACTTAGCTCGCTTGATTAATGACAAAAATTTGTAAGGGTAAGCCAGATAAGAAGTAGAAAATCATAAAAGCGAGTGATATAAAAAAGATTTCAGCGTTCGTAAATTTAAATTAAAGCCAGAGTGCGTAGGTATGAATATTTTTCGTGGGCCACGCGATCCGGTTTAATTGGAAGGATTTCCGAAAGCTTCAAAGAGGCAAACAGATCATTAGCGGCTTGATTTCGATGTCATGCGAACAAAGTCGTGTTTACACAATGAAAAACCGTGACGTCATTCCTGATCGGATTTGCCATCTATAATTCATGGTTAAAAACGGACAAAAGCGAATTTTATGCACTAATATCGGAATTATTTACGATTTTAGCCCAAAACAATAATTATAATGTTTTAACACAAATTTATAGCGACATTTTCGGTTTTATTTATTGAATTTTGCCAGCGAGTGAATTATAGACTAGTGGTGGGGGAAATCTGCCCGCTTTCCTACTCAGACGTCCATTAACCGGGATAAGAAAACGTTAGTAAACCAACAAATTGTAGAATATACGGCATAGAATTCTCGAGAGATGGCTGAACTCATCTGGTAAAAACAACAGTCGGGATAATAAAAAAATCCTTAAATAACACAAAGGATCTGAGCTAACGTCGATCTTATCTCGGTTGCATGCAGCCCACTGTTGCCTCTGTTTTCACACTTTACGATTAAATTTAATTGCGGCGAGTTAATTAATAATTATCGCCGTGTAAGCGTGTGTTTGTGTATCGATTGGGCCCAAATATGGCGGAAAAATCGCGTGGTGTTTGCCTCAAATTGAATCTTGCCGAGTTTTTAACAGAAAACTGATAAGAAACTTTAGAAAATTGCAACACCGTAGCACGAAGTGTATTCCATTCGGGTTGATATTGACACGTCAGGAAACGACAAAATTAATTCCATTTCATGTCGGCGAAAGAAATAAAATTTAATTTACGGCTTGTTTAACAAAAACTAAACAAATGGGCGAAAAGCAGGAAAGTGTGTTTTAATTCAATCAACAGTTTGTACAAATTGTCGCGTTTCTAACATGAAAACTGCCCTAGATTGTATTGATTATATCATATTTCATGTATTACACAGCTATTTTTATGACGTGATTAATGGCCATTAGTGATAAAAGCTCAAGAAAACACTGAAACCTCACAATTATTTTCATACTTGACGAAAGAAGCATTTTAATGGCCACAAGCAATTCGAAAAACATAAACAATGCGATAAGTTTTTCAGATTTTCTTGAATTTTAAGTTTTCAAATGATTCTGAAGGTCTGGCATGTTAAAGCGTTTTTGTTTCTAAAATTGTTACATTTTTTTTCTAAGAATTATACAACTACATATTACAAAATTTCTTAAATAAAAATAAAAATGTGCATTTTAAAGACCAATTTGTTTAATGTTAGTTTATTCAAAAGATAGTTTATCAGACATTACGATTATTGCGGTTACAAAATATACCAACTAATTAAAAATTATGCATACAGCCAACTATTTTAGAAACGGTTAGGTAAAAAATAATACAATTATAAAAAACACTTTTTTTACTACTTGCTGTAAAAGACACTATTATTTAGTTTATCGAGAGCTTGTAAAGTTATTTTTCTCTCCTAGTAGTCAATAATCATTTTCATTATGGACCAAGAGCTATAATGTAGTAGAGGTTGG